AACGGAACTTCTGACAGTCACGATACTGAATCTGAAACGCAGCATGCACCTTGCATACATTATATGTTTTTGATGTAAGAAGACGTGATTGCTTTCCAAAACTTCTGCTTAGACAAAGATTTTTGTAGGTTCTCAGTTTCCTTTGTGCTTAATCAGGACCATAAAACAATTTTTCAGAAGAACTCAAATTTGAATGTACTGCCATTGAATCCATATATTGGATGAGAAAATTTTTTAGAAATGGCATAACTGTATATTTTTTACATAATGAACGCCTGAAACAGACGTTTTCCAAAAACACTGTGAAGACTGTCGAATGTCCATACAAGTAGATAGAATGGTAAAGCGGGTAAAACTCGACACATAGGAGCCGCAGTGTCATCCGACCACAGGGAACAACTACAGCGGTTCTGAAACGTGACAGGAAGAGTCTCTATTGAACAGCCAAAACATGATTATACGTTAAAAATCATAACCTCCATCTGACCCTCAAATTTCTCCAGACACAGAGGCCCTTCGAAACCTCTGACAAAGAAGCCCATACACTTGGTACCATGGAAAGATGGCTGCAAGACCACTCATCATGGATATAATGAAATAACTACAACTTATCCTCCAAAAAATCAACCGAACCAAAGGAATGAGGCAGAGGACAGTCTCCATCGAAGTCTAGGACAATCCACTATGTGACCTCCACAGGTAGCATTACAATTTTTACGTACGAAGCTGTGCGGTACACGTAAAGAAACTAAATAAACTTCTCAACGGGACTAGAACCTTCGTTAGTAAACGCCCTAACAATCTCTCCACTAACAGTAGCAATAATACTGTAATTAAACTAGGCAGGGCCAAACTCTCTGAAGACTGGATAACTGTTTTAAATAAGCGCTTAAACTTTAGTGTAGCTAATAAATCTTTGACCCAAATTGAAACGACACCAAACATAGAAATTAAAGTCCCTCGTAAACCTAATAAGAGTACAATATTACCGTTAATAGGAGGCATAATGAGGGAACCCCTGATAACTAAACATAAGCCGCTTAAACTTAAATTGAACGTGACAAACTAATAAGCTATCAAATCTCTAAAAGTAAAAGAAACATTATAGTTAACATGCAGATAAAGCCAACGCCTCAGTAGTTATGGATAAGACAGATTACAACAAAAAATGCCGCATCGTGGTCAATGCTTCATGCTCCTAGGTGGATAGCAACTCCCTCCCACCTCCTTTCCTGTCGAAAAACTTCCAGCCCATTTACAGGGCATTGTCCAAAATGACCTCTTAGATCCCAAGCACTTCAGCATCATAGAAAAGCCTCTTAAATTCAACAGTAACCATATAGCACCATACCTTTACTGCTTATTTAAAAGGCATATGTTTCCTTCAAAATTGTTGTCTCTACTGCGAACTGTTTTCTCACAGAGGTTTCGAAACTACCCGTTCAAATATTCAAAGTAATCCATGAGTTTTGTATAAGATTGAAACAGATTATGCCCTCAGAGGGTCCCACTGTAGTCAGTTATGTAGCTAAACACTTATTTGCTAACATATTGCTAACATTACTATTAAAACAATTGGTAGACTTCTCCAAAGAGGAAACTCGCTCAAACAAGATACTAACCTCCCTGTTAACTCTATCATAATGCTAATGAGTTTTGCATGGTAGAGGCGGATTATTTTTCCTTGAATGGCATTTTCTTCTGGCAGACCAAAGGGGCAACAATTGGTAACCCACTTTCCTACATCCTGGCTTGGGACATGAACCCAGACCTTTCTCCAAAAATTATTAAAAACAATCTGCTAACCATATTTTTTCATCTTACGAGTGGTTCTGAAAGCAAGTTACTAGAGTTCGTCAATAGCTTCTTCCCTCAAAAAATTCAGTTAACTATTGAATGAGGCAACTTCTCCAGCCTACCATTTCTTGATGCTTTCATAATTTACTCCTGCAACTGTTATTAAACTGAAGTTTATCATAAACCTACTAACACTGACAAATATCTCACAAACTTAACTCACATAATCATTTAAATAATAGAGCTCTGTAGTTATAGCTTGAATAGACAGAACCCTCAAGCTCTGTAGTAATGAATTTCTTAAAGATAAAATAAAGTATAGTAAATCAACCATATGTAATAACAGTTATTATTCAGTTGAATTTGTGAATAACCTCATAAACGGTAGAATAAGACACTACAAACTGATTTATGACATTAACAAGACTAGTAACAAACCTATATATATATATTTGGTAGGAGAAACAGGTAACGCCCTCACGCAGAGAACAAAGATTCATCTCTGACGCTGGAGAAATTGATCATCGCGGACGAGTGCGAGTGACAGGTGATAGCGAAACACCCAGGAAGAACACAAAGCCTCGCCCCAAGCAAAGTCAAAGAACAATGCGGGAAGACCTCCGGGATTGTACAGCATGCTGCCAAGCAAGGGCATTTTGCTTGATGGTCTGAGTCTGAGTGTGGTAGAATCATCAAAGAGAGGCATTTGCTACACAGGAGCATAAAAGAGGCATTGATCATGCAGCACTGTAAAAATGCAAACTTGGGCGTTAAAATGAGCCCCTTTGACTTTGTCGCGAAAAAACCATTTAACCAGTAACATGGACCGAAAAGTTGCCATTTGGTCCCAAAACTATCGACCACGTTCGCGAAACTTCTCCACTAACCTACCTTGAACAAGACCAGTGACATACGGACCGAATATCGGTTTGGTAGGTCACCGGACTGATCACAGTATCTTTTGCGTTGCGAATAAGCAGACCGTATCTAACTCTATTTTTTCAAGAGGTCATTATGATATTCCGATTGATTCATGGCGAGAGAACTCGTTTTTACTCAGGCGTGGAAATCGGCCTGCGTCAGTGATTAAATAGGTTGTAAAGGTGAGTATTCACTTATGACTCATATCGTTTTTTAAATTACACGTTTTTTCTTGTTTATTGCTAAATATCGCTTAAGATTTACATTTAATTTCTTCCGATTTCATTTTTTGCATCATCCATCGAGAAGTTGTTTCGTCTTGGCGCAAAGTTTTCACTTCTTGCCTTCCTGATTATCTTCGCTGATTCTACGGTATTTTCTGCTGTTCCTGAAGGTAAATGAAAAAACGCTGTTTCGGATTCTGAAAGCTTCTGTTTAATGAGTAATAAAGCATCAGGCCATTTTTGATTACTCAGATTATCAATTTTATTTGTTTCCTTGTAAACCAAGGGGCAAAAATTGCATTCCCATAAGTCGGCAAGGAATGTAAAG